CCTAAACAGCCCCAGACCCCGGTGCTGGGGGGTGACCCTGCTACGACCCCTATGCTGGCAGGTGCAGCCCAGCACCCTTCTCTCACCTGCGCTGCCGGGGGTGCCTGGGTGCCCCCAGGGGGCTGGCACAGGGATGGAGGAGGGCTCTGGCCCCACTCTGCCTGGGGTCTCCTGCACGGGGTGGCCACCAGACCCTGCTTTAGGGATGCTCCCCTGGGTCATGGGGGTCTGGTCAGCATCGTCCCCGTGAGGTGCTGTGGGCCCCAAGCATGGACGGGCCCCTTATCTCCCCGGCTCCCACACAGGGCCCAGGCTGGGGGAAGCAGGAAGAGCCCGTGACTAATCGGTGGCAAAGAGCCCGTGAGCTCCCAGTGCACGAAACTGCCCCCCCAGTGCACCCTACCGCCGCGCTGGCCACCACAGCCTGGCCTTAACGGTGCAGCCTGGCAGGGAGCCACGGGGTGGCCACCCTGCTTGGCACAGCAGCCCGAGGACTGGCTGGTGGATGCCGGAGAGGGATGGGGAGATGCTGATCTGCGGCTGTGCCCATCATGGGGCCGTGCACCCCTGGGTGTTTGCAGCTGCCAGGCACAATGGCCAGGGCTGGCAGGGGCAGGCAGTGCAGGCAGGGGTGAAACAGCACCAATATACCCCCAAACTGTCCCGAATGGCTCATTGCCCAGAGCAACTGATGTCCCCGTGGCTCTGCTTGGTCCCTGTCTGGGTGGCAAAGCCCGGTTCCTGAGTGTGATTTTTAGGACAAACAGTGCTGTGGGGGAAGCCAGGGCACACCGGGCGTTTGAGGCAGTCCAGGGGCTGGGGCATCCATGTCTGGGTGCTGGCAGAGCCTCGCTGGGGGTCCCGGAGCCCACCAGCCTGGCTAGCATTGCCTGTCTCCCTGCTGTGAGGGTTGTGCCGCTAGAGCATCGGTGCTGCAGCAGACAGGCGGAGCCACCGGCGGCTGGAGCGGCAGCAGGGCCCCGTACAGGCCAGGACCTGCCCCGGTGCCAGCGGGCAGTGACTGCTGGGGTGGCACTTTCCTGGGAAAGCCTCCGCTGGGGAAAAGGGTGGTGCTGGATCACGTGGCAGCACCATCCACTGCCGGGCATGATTTCACCGAGTGCCTCTGGACTCTGCCCTGGGAGAGTCCTGCCGTGCTGCGCGCCACCCTGGAGCACGGCCAGCAGCACCGGGCTCCTGGCCAGCTGGGAACAGGGAGGGGAGCGAAGCCAGCGCAGCCCGTGGCTTCCCAGCTGGCTCCAGCCTGGCTGTGCCGCCCAGCGGGCATGTGCCCAGCCCTTGCCGTGGAGCATCCCCGACGCTGACAGGGACACATGCCCACGTGGGGATCCTGGGGATGGGCCGGAGGGATGAGGGGTTTCCTCATGTGCCAGTTGCTGGCTCAGCCAGGTTCCTTGCTGTGTTGCACAGGGCGAGCGAGATGCTGGCAAAGGCCTGGAGATGCGGAAGCTGGTGCTCTCTGGTTTCCTGGCCAGCGAGGAGATCTACATCAACCAGCTGGAGGCCCTCTTGTTGGTGAGCACAGCCCCCAGGCTGGGCACCCCCTCCAGGGACGTCCCCCAGCAGGGTTGGGTGGATGGATGGATGGACAGTTGGATGGATGGACAGTTGGATGGATGGATGGATGGATGGATGGATGGATGGATGGATGGATGGATGGATGGATGGATGGATGGATGGATGGGGTAATTTCTTCCTGGACAGCCTACCCTGGGCAGGTCTGGCCTGGGTGCTACCTGGGCAGGAGCAAAGCTGCAGGAGCCATGCCAGAGCCAGCCTTGCTGTGGTCTGGGCACCCCTGTCTCACCTCCCCCCACTGCCAGCATGCCTGGCAGGGAAGTATTTATAGCCCCGCTTCCTCTTGTGAATTCATTGGCCCTCATGGTGGAGATGCTGTTGCACAACGCGGGGGTCACTGCTGCCACGGATGGGGAAGTCGGCGGGGATGCAGAAGCCGGGAGCAGCCCCTCGGTCCAGCTGCTGGCCGGGACCCGTCCCGGGCAGCCCTCACTGCCGGCTCAGATCCCCCTCGTCCCCGGCATCCCCGGGCTCCTGCGCCAACAGCATTAGCGTGGCTGCAGAGGAGGCGGCCATTGCTGCCTGCGGGTGCGGTGGCAGGGCTGGGCAGAGCTGCCTGCGGGGTGTGGGTCCGGGTTGCCACGAGCCGTGGTGTGGGGCTGGAGGAGTCTTGGGGTCGCTTCTCCTCCCAGCCCTCATCTCAAATGCTCTCCCTTCTCCTTCGGCAGCCTATGAAGCCACTGAAGGCCACGGCCACTACGTCGCAGCCTGTCCTCACCCTCCAGCAGATCGAGACGATTTTCTACAAGATCCAGGACATCTACGAGATCCACAAGGAGTTTTACGACAGCCTGTGCCCAAAGGTGCAGCAGTGGGACAGCAACATTACCATGGGCCACCTCTTCCAGAAGCTGGTACGCGCCTTCCCCAGGGCTTGCTCTGCTTGGAAGAGGAGGAGGGCTGGGGAGATGGAGCACCGTGCTGCGGGGCGCAGCCCCGTTGGCATGGCTCAACTCATGCCCTGCCACAGGCTCGCCGGTGGCCGCGGGACTTGTTGCATCCCTCCCTGCAGCAGCCACTGCTGCCCGCCCACGCCCCCCCCGCCCCGGA